CGTATATAAATAAAATTAGTAATTTCACACATATATTTATAATATTTATAACATTTTTAATAACTATATACAGTGGGTACGGGAAGTATTCAGACCCCCTTAAATTTTTCACTCTTTGTTATATTGCAGCCATTTGCTAAAATCATTTAAGTTAATTTTTTTTCCTCATTAATGAGAAAAAACGCTGCAGCAGATTTTCAATGCAGAAGACGCTCCAAACATTTTTAGAGGATTTAATTTAAAAATAACGTGTCAGATATTTGCATTAAATAGCTAATTATGTTAAATACGTGGAAAGTAGTGCTGTCAAACGATTAATCGTGATTAATCGCATTCAAAATAAAAGTTTTTGTTTGCCTATGTGTGTGTGTATTGTGTATATTTATTATGTATATATTAATACACACTCATACATACTCATGTATCATGTATGTACACTCATACATTTACATGTATATATTTATAGAATTTATATATTATATATAAATATATTTAATATACAAATATAACATTGCGAGTGATAGCAATAGTAGGGATATGGAAACACATAGTAAGAGTTGGTCATTAAAACTTAAACAGAAGTGAAGCAAGGTGTAGGAAAGATGATGAATCAAAAGCAATACTTATGTCCCTTGCAGGTGTCCCTGCACGGTGGAGTCGATGGTCTTTACACTCTTCGGGTATACTAACCTATTTTGGTATACTAACCTTTTTTATTCCCGTTTGACAAAACGATAATTGAATTCAGCTGAACACACTTTACTGTTTATCACAACAAAGGGCTAAGCAAGCTATATATATATATATATATATATATATAATTATTTAAAATTAAAACTAATATAAATAAAAATATTTTCATAATACATATAATATCTTAATATTTTATTATATAATATATATCATTATTACAAAAAATTATTATAAATGTAATAACGAACCGCCTTGTGTTACGTCATATATAGGGGGCGTGTCATCGTGCGTTCAGCCGGAAGTAAAGACGTGAAACAGCAACTGGTAACACTGTAACACAGCGTGGACATGTAAGTACTGTTTGACACTTTCACAACTATTCATTTAGTTCCGACGAGTAGTTCATGTCCATGTTCAATAAAACAAAATCAAACACCGATTCAGTAATCGTTACATATTTATCTTTAACAGATCAAACTGTTGGAGATTAAATTTAAATTCGTAAACTAAATGTAGGCTTGAATGAGTTCTCTTATTATTGTGGTTGTAGCTTATTCATAATTTTACCAAAAATACATTCTCTGGTGTCTGATACTGGAAACACGTTTAATGACGTTTATACGTTTAAAAAGAAGCCAAAAACCACTGAGGTTGCAACGTGTTCACAAACCAGCCTAACTAGTTTTACTTGAACGAGACTTGTAGCAAAACCCTGAAAATCTCAGAACCTCAAAAATGACATCTGAGTGCAAATAGTCTTCCATGCAGTAACAATGAATATGCAGTTTATAATGTCATTGTTCACTGTTGCTGATGTGGCATGTCAGTTGACCATGCATATGTTTAATATACAGGTTTTCTGCAGGTTTTAAGAAGGTAAATGTAAGACTTTTTAAGACCAATTAATGAAAATTTAGGAAATAAATTGAATGGAACACAGTACACCAATGTGATCTCTAAATGTAAATGTCTTGTATTAGTAGTGCTTCGCTCACAGTTTGAAAATACAACTTCCAACTGATCTCCAATACTTTAATCCAGTTTTTTTAAGAAAAAAAGAAATGGCTTTAGACTTGAATAGCTCTGCACCAAATCACTAAAATATGGAAATAACTTTTCCTGTGATCACAGAGTCAAGAAGTCATGCTGTTCCTCAGTATTTTTGGCTTGTTTTCCAGTGCGAATATATAAAGATTCTTATATCAAGATACATTAACTTGAGAAGCAAAATGACATAAGTCTTGTTTCATGAGAAACTGATCAAAAGTGAGTTTGTGATTAAAACAAGAACAATCTGTTTAATTCAAAGGGAAGACAAGTTTTCATACTGACAAATATTTGTTCTTGTTTTAAGCATAAACCCACTTAAATTTGCTCAGAAAACAAGACTTCATATGTTCAATTTGCATCTCAAGTAAATGTATCTTGATTTAAGGATGTTTAGATATTTGTATTGGAAATCAAGACAAAAATACTGATGATGATATTCATTTTTTGCAGTGCATGCAAAATTTAGCCTAATGCCGTGACTTTATGAATTTAAGACTTTCTGCTCTGATTTAAGAGATTTTTAGGCATTCATTTGTGCAAGGGTGAATTAAGATCCACAGAAACTATGTATATATCTATTATTCTGGCCTCAATTTTACTTCTGTATATTGCAGGGAGGACACACTGCTGTGGATTGTGGGTGTGCTGTTACTCCTGTTCTGCAGTCTGGATGTGTGGTATTACTTGCGGGTAGTGGTTGTGCTGATCCGGGCCTGGTTCCTCTCACCTGTATTTGACATCACAGCAGAGCAGACCGCTAGCGGACGAGTGGTTCTCCATGACGTTGACCTTTGCCACATGAACAATGCCCGCTACCTACGCGAGTGTGACTTTGCCCGTTTCTCTCTGTACACCCGCAATGGGGTGTTCAAGGCTTTAAGAGCTCTAGGGGCCACCATGGTCGTTGGGGCAACTACCATCCGCTATAGACGGCCGCTGTGTGTAGGTGAGGCGTTTGAGATTCACAGTCGAATCGTTATCTGGGACGAGAAGTCATTTTACCTGGAGCAGAGGTTTGTATCTTGTAAAGATGGGATGGTGTCGGCTGTTATGTTCTGCAAACAGAATGTCCTGCGCAGCAGTCCGGACAAGATCCTGCAATACTTGTGCAAGAGAAAGGTGAGCAGCTAAGACTTTTAACTCTCTGGTGGTCTTCTGTTATTTTTAGACTGTTTTGAATTTAGATTTTTTTTTTAAAGTTTTTGTGGATCCAAAAAAATCTATAATTTTATATATTTATTTTTATTACAATAAAAATATAACTTTTATTGAAATAATTAAAAAAGAATAATATATCTAATTATAAAGTACTACAGTGAGTAGAAAAAAAACATAATTAATCTTGTGCACTACAACTAAATATTTTCAAACTAATATTTTACACAAATTTATAAATAATATTTTTTTACATGAAAATATACAACTGCCTTTTAAATTCCAATTTGACATTGGAATGGTACAATCTTTTGACATTTGTGGCAGTTGCTATATAAACACACAAAAAAATGTTGACATGATTCAAAAAGTCTGTGAAAGTCTGTAAATGCAGAATTGCATGATAGAAATTCACAATTCAGAATTTCAGTAAAAAAAAAAAGGTAATTACAGCTTTTTTTTTTTTTTTTTTTTTTTTTTTTATTTTCGGGGTTTTTTCACAGTTCTGATGGGTTTTTTTTTCTCTGAATTGAGAGTTAAAAACTTGCAATTACTTTTTTAATTATTTTATTCCGTAGCCGAAAAGAGCTTCCATAAAAGGCTAAGTCATCTTAAAAAAAATGTTTGGTGTTCAATCTACAAATCAGACTCAGTGAAATAGTCTTTGATCATGTCTAAATATATATCCAAATGCAACTTTATAAAAGTAATTATGTCTGAAAATATTTTTATATGCAAATAAAGAACACTCAGCCCTAAATCAACACTGTATTAGTTATTAATAATATTAATAATATTAATATTAGCGTTTTCTCATATTTTCATTATTTTAAATAGAAATAAACGGTACATAATTTAGAGGTGAATATAGTGTGTAGTACCATGAGTACCCCTACAAAAGCAAAATATTAAAGAATAAATGATTCAATAATAAAATTATTGATAGAACATTTATTTCATGAAAAAAGTTAAGCTTGTTGTCACTTAGGGAAGAAGAAAAACTAGAGGGTTAAAGAAACGGTTCACAAAAATTTTATTAATTTACATGTTGTTCCCTTTCCCTTTTTTTTTTCAAAACACTAAAGCCTGACATTTATGAACTGATTTTGTAGGTTGAAGTGCCAGAATTTCCTGAAGACCTGCAGCACTGGATCAAGTTCATCTCCGCCAGCAGTAAAGCCCTCAGGGGGGAAAGTCAGCTCGATGATAAAAAGAGCGAATGACGACTCACTGCCTTAAATGAACTCTCAAACACTGGTTTACAAAAACACAAGAACATTCTGATGCACATGCATTAATGTCTCAGGTGTTTGGACACTCTGATGCAAAATAAAACTGTGATCTAAAAGTCTGATTCATGCTGCATTATGTATTGTGCATGCATACTGTAGATTGAGAATATGTAGAAACAATTTTTTTTATTGTGTATTACTGCCACTGACTGGAGTGTGAAGCATTAATAGAAAGGGAAACAAAACAATAACAATAAATAAAACAGCTATGCCACTTACGCAATATGCGTAATTTAAGTTCCATTTTCTAATCCTGTTATTCTGAGATAACTATTTCTCTTTATATTGTTGGCTGTCCTAATGCACAAATCAGAAGATTTGGTAGATTGAAATGGATTAAATGATGTATCTCTGTAATTTCTCATTTCTGGAATAACTTCTACACAAAATAATATATTATTGCTTAAATGTATAAAAAAAAAAATACAAAACATGCCTCAGTATACAATGAATTGGGAATTATTCCAACACATCCAAGTAGCAGCAAAAAAGTATCTGTTCAAACAAATATATAACTAATTTATTGAATGCTTTAAAAACAATAACAACTGTCATCATTGTCAAATCATAACAATACAACAGTCCAGGGTCTTTCAGTCCAGTGCCAAGTCCTTTAGCAAAGCCATTGCTCTTATTGCTTTTACGTTTGTAGAGAAGAGATTCAAAAGACATTTTCATTTCAAGTTTGAATCTCAAAAAAGAGGTTTGCATTTAGAAAATGTATTTAAATAAAATGTTGTCTTGGAAGCGGTGATGGAATTCTGGCGTCACGCCGTTTGTATGGCGGCCTGCCCTGCTGACGTAGTCACGTGGCCTCGTCAAACCAATCAGAGCGCAGTTTCTGTGTGTGCGGAAGTGCGTGAAGCCGGTGTCTTGCGGATATCAAGCGCGTGAGTAACAAGAATATCATATTTTACAACAATATGATTATGAACCTTTACGTGGATTAAAACTCAAACCGGTCTACTTAGGATAGGTTTTTCGTTGCACCACCTTGTCTATGATCTACATGTACATCTGATATTTAATCTAAACGTTGATTTTTGATTCATTTCCGATATGAATGAATGATGTGAGGTATTTCCATAGCTGTTTTTAAATGTATCTAAATGTATATATTTAAAAAAAAAAGATGCAATGATGTCCTGCGTGTTGTTTTTAGCACTCGTGTTAATACCATAGAAACCCAGTTCCGCGTCTCCACGTGATCTGTATGAATGATCCATGATGTGAATAATGAATCCTCTTCACTGTGTAACAGAATCATGCTGCTGTGGATTGTGTCCGGCTCTCTGCTTCTCTTCGGCAGTTTTGACGTCTGGTACTTCTTGAGAGCAACGTGGATGGTGGTCAAGTCCTGGTTCCAGGGTCCGGTTCGAGACGTTCTGGCGGAGCAGGTGGTTCACGGAAGGGTTTTCCTCCACGACCTGGACTTTATGTGTCACATGAATAACGCCCGCTATCTGCGCGAGTGCGACTTCGCGCGCTACGCGTACTGCACGCGGAACGGGCTCTTCCTGGCGGCGCGTGCGCTCGACGCCTCCATGCTGATCGGAGCCACCACCATCCGCTACCGGCGCTCGCTGGCGTTCGGCGAGGCCTTTGAGCTGCGCACGCGGATCGTGGCGTGGGACGAGAAGTCCTTCTACCTGGAGCAGAGGTTCGTGTCCAAGACAGACGGGTTCGTTTCTGCTGTCATGCTGTGCAGGCAGAATGTCATTCGCGGAAACCCACAGAGGATCTTGGATCACCTTTGCAAGAGGAGGGTATGCATTATATCGAGTGCATCATGTGCTTATGCATTTTGTGCATTAAAGTTTTTTTTTTCTTTTTCTTTTACTTTTAAAAGCCCCAAATATGCTCATCCCTGTGCAGGAAAGCCCCATCCTAAAATATAGAAATGTAGTGTTAAATGTTTGTGCTTGTATATTTACTTGTTTATTTATTTGAAATGTGTGTTGTATTTATTTTAGACAAATTTTATTGTAATCTTATTTATTTATTTTTTACTTGTTACTTTTTGGACCCCCAAATATGCTCATTCTCATGCCTATTCATGCCCCATTCTAAAATGTAAAAGGCAGTTGTATATTATCATGTAAAAAATATTTATAAATTTGTGTAAAATATTAGTTTGAAAATATTTAGTTGTAGTGCACAAGATTAATAATGTTTTTCTTTCTACTCCCTGTAGTACTGTACTATTAGATATATTATTTTTTTAATTATTTAAATAAAAGTTATATTTTTATTGTAATAATTTTATATATTTATTTTTATAATTTTTTTTGCATCCACAAATATGCTTATCCTAAAATTGAAAAGGCACTAATGTATAAAGACACCTTTTTATACAGTGAAAATTAATATTATAAATATATGTAAAAATATAATTTGGACAATATTTGTTTTTTTATTATTATACATTATTACATTCATCTTACTAAAGTATGTATTATTATTGTTGATGTACTATTTAATTACTTAATTATTGTTTTGGACCCTCTGAAGACCCAATTAATACAGTTAAAAATGTATATTATACATGTGTAAAAAAATATTTTAAAAATAATTATACAATTTTTTTCTACTAAGTAGTACTGTACTGTACTGTTAGGTATTTTTTATTTATTTTAATAAAATTGATTTATTTAAATTTTATTTATTTATAATAATAATTACTATTATTATTGTTGTTGTTGTTATTATTAATTAATTTATTTTACAAATTTTTACACTGTTTTTCTCTAAACATTTCCACGGACCCCCTGTAGGTCCTCAGACCCTAGTTTGAAAACCCCTGCATTACAGCCCTAACAAACAGTAGCATGGTAATACCATGACACTCCTTGGCTTACCATGAACATGGTAATCATTTCAAGACACTTTGATAATATCATATTGTTAGACGTGTAATATGGTAATACCGTGGTTTTTTTGAGGTATGTTCCTGTTGATCTAACATACAGTATATGTGTCTCTGATCTGAAGGTGGATTGCCCTGAGATTTCAGAGGATCTTCAGCACTGGATCAGGTTCATCTCTGCCAGCAGTCAGGCTCTGAGAGCAGAGAGTGGACTGGACGACAAGACCAAATGATCATTTCAAAGACTCTTACCGTAAGCCTTCCTTCTGCATGTAAGTTTCCCGTGATGCTAACCTTGAAACCAAAACTCTCGAAGTGTCCGTTTTTAAGTTACAAAAAGGGTTTCTGATCCAGAACCTGTGGCTGTTGGCAGCTTCAGTGTTTACTCCACCACACCAGCCCTCCGTATAGTTTATTTGTTTAAAAGTATTACAACGTCATTATTGTACTTACAAAATCCATTCCAGAAGCTGCAAGAAATATGACTGACAAACCACAGTGCATGAATCTCTGTTGAGAAACAGAGCGCATGAATGAATGTTGAAAACCTGACTCCATTGACTTGAACTCTGGGGGCTTTTGAACGCTCCTATAACCAAATACGCACATGAATGTAAGAAAAATCACGTTGAAAAGAGTATTTTAATAGTATAAATGGTAGATGAGTTCTGAGCAGTGAATTGGAACAAGTATGTTGTTTTATCATATCACATCATCAATTTGTTGTGCTGGTCAGATATGTTAATGTAGTTATTTATTCCAATTTAAAACTGAAACGGTTTATTATTCTTGTTATTTATGAAAAGGGAACATTTTTTTCTGAGATTTGCATAATTTCTTTGAGAAGAGTCTGTATGTAAAGTAATTTAAGCACCTGTAATGAAACTTGAAGACTTGGGTTATGAAATAAAGTCCTGCATTGTAAATAATGTTTGTATGTTTCTGAGTCATTAGAAGCATTTGTTTATAAACGGTGTTCATGTATCTGGATCATGTGAGAACAGCACTACTGCCATCTAGTGTGAAAACACTGTCATATCACGCTCTCAAACTGGAAAGTTTAATTTAAAATGTACACGTATTGCAGAATAGCATTATATTTGGTTTGTCCCTTTTTTGAATCAATGGCAGCAGCACTGAACCTCACATAAACAAAAGCTGATGTTGATGTTCTGCAGCATAACTTGAGATGTTCCTACGAGCATCTTAAGCTTCAGTGTAAGCAAGAAAATCGGACAAATTCTGTACAAAGGAGTTCTTATCTGACTAAACATATTCAAACAATAAAAAAAATTGTATTAATTTTACGACAATTTTTCTTTGTTTTAGTTTTATGTTTATTTTATTTTATTTTTTATTTTTTCCCAAAATTAAAAAAATGTGGTTTATTGGCAAGTTTAAAATAGATTTAGAGTTCAATGATTTTCTGTGTGGACTGTGGATAATAAATAAAAAGATATGAAATCTTTAAAATATTTCAAAAATATTTATAAATTTAACATATGTGTGTGTGTGTGTGTGTGTGTGTGTATATATATATA